ATGAAAGAACAAACTAAACGCAATCAAAGGCGCGACACTCGCGTTGGAAATAAACTAATAAAACGCGTTGCGACCAGAAATCTCGTCTGCATCTATCATTCACGCAAACGCACACACATGCTATTTTCGTATGTTGAATACGTTGGCAACGTCGTCAAATATTTAGCCCAATCACTGAATAAAAAAACATCCAAGCACACGTGCACTGGCGCCAGATAAAGTGAAAAAATGAAAACAAAATTACGTCTGCACTGTGCATTTTTAACAATAACCAAAACCATTAGGTTACATGCCAAAACTACCGACTCAGGATTCATCATACACAAATATAGCCACTTTCATGGAACTGTTATTTTTGTAACCCACTTTGTCGGCTCAGTTGATTTGGGAGCACTGATCCCAATTTAAAAAAAATAAAAATATCGTATAAAATAAAGACGCAGTTTCGTCTGTATTCATATCCAACAGTTCACATGGACGTACTGGGAGCTCGAATGGTCTCAAAAAAATCATGTGTAGCATTATCACGCGCAACTTGAATGTAAATATTATGCAATAATAATGGTAAAGTTTAATCTCTGACAAATAAAAAGACGCAACAAATTGACCTGGTGGTGTATTTGACCTCAAAAGCTACTGCATAGCAAACATGAACAAAATGATTTATAAACTGACTATAACTAAAAACTAAACAAATTCTACTCAAATTAATTCTACAGTTTTGCTTTCTCAGGCGATCCTGTGCATAAAACTGAAATTTAAACAGGTCGGCATTTTACCGGTAAACCGGAAAATCAATGCATAAATTAACTTGTCAGAAGTGTGAATTGCCTCCTGCCAGTACGGTAACGGCCTTGCCGGTACGGCTAATGACCTTCGGGTACGGTAAAGCAGCGGCCGGTACGGTAAAGCAGCGGCCGGTACGGTAAAGCAGCGGCCGGTACGGTAAAGAAACGCATGCCGCAGGAGACTCACAGGAAACCGGCTTGGTGGTAATGATCAGTTCCCTAACAGAACAAATACAGTATTTTGAAATAGCAGGGTTCTCCACAGGGCATTATTGAGTAGGGGTTCCCAACTGTTAAATTTGGGATAAACAATGGAACCAATTTAGCATTATAATGAATACAATAGAAGTCATTAACATATTAAAAAAGTCATGCAAATTAACCGATATTGTATGCAATTTTTCTGGGGAGAACAGTGAACAGTGAATAGTGTCTTAACAGCAAGAGACTTTCTAATGTACATTTTGAGCTACAAGATTATCATGTGCTGCAGTTATTCAGTTCCATAGCACTGTGTCAGTAGTGCTTCTGGCGTTCCCACTGCAGAAATTAAATGATGTGCACGCTATCTCAGATCACTGCTTCATATGTCTGCTGAGACAATGTATAACTACACAAAACAAAACAACAGTTATTTATATAGTATGCATTAATCTGTATTACTGTACAATATTTTATTTTACCTGGAATTAATTTCACTGGTTGTTTTGTACAAATTTTATTTTCATTAATTTTTGATAAGTTGAATGCAAAATAGAGAAAAAGGGTATTTTCACTGCATTTTAGGCAAAAGTCAGAAAAAACATTAAATAATAAAGACATGAATGTATTGTATCGACTGACATACCTCTGGTATAAACTGTAATACCTTTGACACATTTAAATAGGTCATTGCTTTCATCTACAAGTGCATGAAATTGTTTCCTTTCACTCATTCCATCCTTTTTGGGGGATATCTGGTGTTTGGAGCTCATAAAGAGATCACTTTGAAAACAGGGACTAATCTTCAATGACTTGTTATACTTGTATGATCTTCTTTTTTAGGTCTGACGATGCATGCGACTATTTTATCCTACATGTTCAATTTAGTTGAGCATAACAAGATAAATGTGCCATTGTCGCAACAACAGGCATCTTTAACCAATGATATGTATATCAAAGAATTCACTGCCAATCTTTTAAAAGCTGCATTCCCTCATCTACAAGAGTGAGTATTTGCTTTATGTTCTACTTGAATCAATGTGATTTAAATCAGACTTAGTTTGAGGTGGTTATATATTAAAAACAATCATCAATCAATCAGTGATGTCATTGTTTACATTTTTGTACATATTTTCGGACTGTTTGTACATTGTCAGATTCTATGACTGATTTTGTTAAAATTTGATACAAAGACATGACATAATGTTTTACATTTAAACCTGTTAACAATCAGTCATATGTCAGGGCTGATATTATTCATACTGAATTTACCTATGTAGGCAGGAGCACCTACCAAGCAGTACATTTTTTAAAAGCAGCACCAATGTCTAATTGTGAAAGATGATACATTCCTATTAATTACACAAATGGAACAGTCATGAGTAACTTCTTTCATTATTTGTTTTCAGTGCTCAAGTTAAAATATTTGTGACTGGTTTATTCAGTTTGAACCATGATATTCCACAGTTCAAAGAACATCTAAGAGATTTTCTTGTACAAATAAAGGTTAGTGATATTTCATGAAGAATAGTAAATCTATGAAAGCTATTTTGCTTTAAAATATTCATTGCCCAACTGCTCAGAGTCGAGTGAATATCAGTTTAAGAAATATTGTAAAAAACTTGGTATTGTGCAAAATATTTCTCTCAAATTTCAAGATTGCATATTGGGGGGGGGGGGCTCACTAATGTAAATATATAATGTACTGCATAAATATAATACAGCTTCAAATAGATGAAACATTGATTATATCAATATTTGCATCCCACTCCTTTACATATGACCATTCCCTGGCAGGTGATTGAACTGATAGGGAATATAACGACTTACTGTTTGAGAAAACATTAACTGCGATTACTTATACAATTTGGTTGTGCATTTACAGGAGTTTGCTGGGGATGATACCACTGACCTTTATCTAGAAGAACGTGAAACATCTCTCAAGCAAGCAGAAGAAGAGAAAAGGAAAATCCAACTGGCTGTACCTGGAATTATTAACCCTCATGATATACCCGAGGAGATGCAAGACTAAGTTGTTCTGTTTCCAACCTGATAAAGTACATGTAAATTCACAGTGATAAAGATCACTGGAGTTAAAAAGATTGAATTGCAGTTCGATCAACACCTCAGCAATTATGCTCTCTACTTACCAACTTTTTGATTTAGTACATATTCCATGATGCATATATTTTGTTCAATATTCAGCAATAGGTCGCCAGATCTTAAAATTAAGCAGTATTTTTGGTGCATATGTTTGTGTCATTCTATTTTTATCCTTGTCTCCTGTAATAAACGTTATAAAATGTTTTATTTTATATCAGTTATATATGGTATCAGATCAATTATTGTTTAAAATGATCTATATATTCATGATATGTCATAACACAAAATGCTGAAAATGCAAAACTATGGGTCTGTTAAATTCATCTATAACCTGATCTGTCACTTAAATTTTACAATTAGGAAAACTAACTCCATTATTTAAGATGTATGACTTTTGTTGAACTAAATAAAGTTTTCATCTATTTTACCAAAATTGTGGTTGTAGGAAATAGGTGATATTTTGGACATTATTTTGCAGTAAACCCTAAATCCACACTAAAAGAACTTTGATAGAAAAGGTGTGTTTGGGATAATCCATTTTTTGTAAAACTTATTTTTCATTAAAAGTATATATGCCTTTATTGTATGTGTCCCATAAGGGGGCTTTTATATTTACAAATGAAACTCCTTAGTGAAGTAGCATCAGTGGTATAAAAGTATGGGAATATTGTTAAAAGAATACAGCTGACCTCATGGCCCAAAATTGGTTTCTTTGTATGTGCAGAATCCTATTGCTTTGGATGCCGAGTTGTACTGTAAGATTTGCAATTTAGACCACACCTAAATTGAAAAAAAATGCAACCTTGTCCCAGCAATTTGACACCACACAGTTGGGCTGCAGCAATTATTGAAGTTTTTGTTTAAGTTTTTTTGTAAATTAGGTACAAGGCCTAAAAGAAATGCAAACATAAACAAGAACACGACAGTGGTATAAACTAAATGTCACAGTAAAATCAAATAAATGACCAACAAAACAATCTCCGTACAACATGCCTGGACACAGATTTTAAATAAAAGGCACAGTTCCTTTATTTTCTTACAAGAACACCGCACAAATATAATTAAGGCAGCTTGTCTCGTCTTTTAATTGATATTTCTTTGAGTCTCTGGATATAAATAAGTTCATGATCATAGGCCCTAATTACATCATGCAATTATGAACGTTTTCTCTTAATATTACTTTTTTGTATTCACAATTTCCATGTATTTATTGTGTTGATCTTTTGTTTACATTTTTGTAGAGATAACATTTTCAATTTTTTGTTTTTGTACCGAAGAAAAATGGCCATCATTCAAGATTTCATAAAAATATAAGCATTATTTTGTTAGTGTGTACTTTCTAATCATGCCCATTTAATGCAATGACAACCACATGTCCAACTAAATTGTGCTTTTTGGTCATTTGATAATTTTTTTTAAAACTGACAGACTGTGTAATCTATGACTGGTTAGTTTTGCTGTAAATAAATTTCTCTTGCAGTTTGTGTTTCATGTTGGAAGTTTAGAACTATCGCAAAAAATAATATATTCCATTTCTATAGCGCCCTCCCCCTTCCCCAAATGATTATTTGAAATGTCTTGTCTTATTTTAGAACATTTGTATAACATTGTATTATTGATACCAGTAACTCGTGATTCTATCCGGCCTAGGGACAGAAATTGCAACAGTATTGTTTGGAATTACCCAAACACTGATAAAACATAATTGTGTCACTAATAGAAGCATATTTGAACAAAAATTATCCTGGACTAATTAAATTGCATGCATCTTTCATGATCATCATAGATAAGTGTCTCGTCTGTCATGAATATACTTTTTTTTTTTACTATATCATTTTTTTTCCTAACTGATCTATTTTATGTTGTCTTTGAATGAAAGGGAAAAAACTACAGTTAAAATGTATTACAAAACTCTGGTCATAAAATAACCTATTATTGAATACTGACAGTTGTATAGAAACTAGCTTATCAGTTATTCATCCTTGCTTTAAAAACTGTTAATACAGCAATTCCATTGGACTCTTGTAAGGCCATACTGAAAAACTAGTGGAAATCCTTCCTTCCTTCCTTCCTCCGTCTTTCTCAAAATTTGTGAATTGCTTTACAGAAATCAAAATGCATCTAGCTATTTAGTGACAAACAATTAGGTTCTGATGTGACTGGTACCGAAATAGACTTGTAAGTTTTATAACATTTTATATTAGATTCATGGTGCAATATGTATGATTGTTGAAAATTTATTAGTTTAGCTTTATTCATTGAACCGTAGCATATTACTACCTGTAGCATAATGCTTCAATTATTTGTTAAGCAGAAATTAAGTGGATTTGTTTTTTATTTTTTCATATTTAAGAGTGCATTACCTGTATCCGGATAATTCACACTCAAAAAGTTAAACAAAAAAAATATTGAACAAGATTTGTATAGTCAGCAACTATCTTTGTAAATGTCTATTTGTAATGGGTTTTCAAGAAAATAGTTATTGTTTTGCAAAGGAGCATTGAGGGGTGTTTACCATTGTATGAATATCAACTGAAAAGTCTACTGTTTTTTTATTGAGGAAAACTAGAATGTCTGCATGGTCTGTTCTAAGTCCTGCATGAGAAGAAAGGCAATAAAATCTATTATCTCAAGTTCATGAGTGTTCAGTGATTCCTTCAATACAACACTACACTACCAAGTTTATGTACAGACATAATAAATACATATACAACTTACACTATGGATCGTAATGACACCACATGTCATGACGTTGGCAGGATTAGAGACCAGAACCATTTTGAAGTGGCACAATGCCCTCTGATGAGTGCAAATCTAGAATATACTTGACTTGCAAGTAACCATGACAGAAAATTTTTCACAAGAGTTATTGAAATCTCCTAATACTGGGTAGACCATTTTTTGTTCCCAGTAAGATCTTGCATTGTGTGTGTAATTATCTAACAAATGACGTAGCGTCAAAATGTAGTGTGAGATTCTACAAATGCTCAATGTCAATTTTGATATCAACAAAAACATTAGCGGTGCTAATTGGTAACATGCTGCATTGGTCTTTATACACTACATGCAGCAATGGTTAACACAGAACAAGCAATACAAGTTCTACCATGCAATGTCTCGAACAGTTTTGAAAATAAAATATCTACAAATCATCAAAATGATGTGTATCAGAAACCCAATTTTTTAATGGGAAACAAAAATGGCTGAGAGTCAAATAAAAAAAAATGTTTTAGACCATTATGTTGTCTCTTGACAAATTGAGCAAAGCATATCAGAGAAATTATGTACACACTACATACCCCACAAGGAACTAATAAAAAATATCAAGTTGAATTTATACTACAAGAATCGATGTAATATTTATTAATCATAAATTACAATACAAATTTTATACAATGGTTGTTTTAGATGGAGCAGTTCATGACTCTTCAAGTTTTTTCTCAATTGTTGTGAAAATAAAACTGTCAAAACAAGAAGAAAGAACACTCACTGCAGATTCTTTTGAATATCTCTGGACAAGAAACAAATCTATTTTAGTCTAAATCTTCTTTCAATATATTTACAGAACAATGACAAAAATACTGACTATACCCAATTGTAAAATTACCGGTAAAGTTAATAAAAATAAAAGAATAAGTAGATTATAAATCATTTGCTTAGTATGTTATCTGAATATTCGTGTATTTGATCATCTAACAATAATGGAGAATTAATATTGGAGATATCAATGATAAAATAGAATTGTTATTATTACATACTCTTCCCTATTAGTAATAAATAAAGATTGGTATACTTCCCAACTATGAAATACAACTTTTTTTAGGTTTAGAATCAAATTAAATCAGAAATGATCAAAAGTTACAATAAATAGTAAAATAGTAGGTGACAAGAATTATGAATGTAAACATGTGATTTATACTGTTACAAAGGGATCTTCAGAGCCACCCAGGTGTACTTCCCTGAAAAAATGATAGGGATGTGCTGCCAGCACCTCCAGACCAATACTCCTTTAAGACAACTAACATTTTTGACCTAATAATTGATTAATAATTTCAGTAATGAATGCTGAAAATTGAAGACACTTGACAAATAATTTTGCTTAAATATAAAAAAAGGGATCCCATTTGGCAAAACACATGTATACAGTTTTCCAATAGAAGGATTAATACCCACCCCACCCCAACCACAAGCATTTAGTTAGTGGCCATGAAAGGACAAATGATCTGTAGTGCCAGTGATACAGGTTCACCTTCTGACTGAATGTATCTGGCTCTATTCTGTACTCTTTGATTGATACACTGCATTATTATGATTTGAGGAGCAATCATGGGAATCCTAATCTTCTTCTGTCTGAATAGAACTAATATCGGATGGATCATCATCGGTATATTTGTGCTGTGCAGATTGACTGGTGGAACCACTGAATGAGTATGTATATTTATCATCATCACCATCATCACTGTCACATGGATCATCTCTTGCCGAGGCCTTACCCCCACTCTTCCGCAGAATAAAAGTCTCTTCAATTCCAGCATCTCTCAAAGCTTGTTGGTATTTCTTTTCTGCTTGACGTTTAGCATTTGTCTGGAAGATAAAAATAAAAATAAATGGTCCCATAGATTCTGTGTCTTAGGTGTAAATAATGTGCTTCAACTACCGATAGTCTTGACACAAGTCATACAAATGTCACACATTTGGCAGCATTAGCACAATATGTATTCCCTTAATGCTAGTCACCGTCAATGAACACACATCAATCGTACAATAAAAGATGACCCAATAAAATTTACATAACCCAAGCCACACAGGTATAAAAAGACAAGACAAAATGTATGTATTCACTACTCTAATTACTGGTAAGAAATAAAGGATGACACACTGCTCATTACTGGTTGTAACAGGACAAGAACAGGGATGTGCACAATAATTGGAGAGTTGGAATCAAACCCATTATTTAAGCAACCCTGTCCGAGCCCTGTTGTCATGCAAAAATGGTCTTAATTCAGTTATAATACCCCAAAATGTTGAAAAATCAAAATACGTTTATAGTTGTAGCTTTTGAATGAAATGTATCCTAGACACGTGCATTTCAGTTATGCAAAGAACGTTCAAAAGCAAACAACAACCTTGTTTGTTTCCTGGAGAATTGACCACATACACTGCCCAGTTATCATCTGAAAACAGGGATACATGTGGTACCAATTAACCAATCAGAACACAGCCTTTCAATCAGGCAATGTTACTGTATTACCGTACTTATCCGGGTAAGAGCCCATGCCTGGACAAACGCCCACCCCCCACTTTTGACACAATAAAGAAGTTGAGGTCATATCCGGGCACACGCCCAGTCTTTTTCTATATACACAAAACAAAAAACAAAAAAACTATTTTCTATTCGTTGACTGTGGTTGTATTAACAGTTGACTTTCTTGAAGTCTGTCATGATACTTATAAAAATTGTTAATTGCGTAAAACAAGGGGTGAACGCAAAATAGCTGTGAGAGCTTTCTGCCTTCAGGGCAGCACTTTCACCGTTGATTTTTTTCAGAATCATAACAGTCAGCAAGTCTATAAAAATAAATATTAAAGCAGAAACGGTAGTTCTCTTTTTGAAATATGTCATGGCCCTAAAAAGGGCCGGCCGTTTGGTTTGTGCTTCCTTAGAAACGATTCAAGCAAATCGTATAAGGAGAGCCGCTAAGCAAGTGTTGCACTCGTTCGGCTTTAGCGTCGACGACAATGAAAACAATGTT